ATAGTAGTTCTAGCAGTAGCTGTTGTATAGTCGTAGTAGTAGTAGTGGTAATCTTAGTAATACTAGTGCTAATAATATCACCAGTCTTACTAACAGTCGAAGTACTAGTGGTAGTCGGAGTAGTCGTAGTAGTGGTGGTAGTAGTAGTAGTAGTCGTAGTGGTAGTAGTCGTCGTGGTAGTAATGGAAGTCGTAGTAGTAGTAGTAGTAACAGTAGTGGCAGCAGTAGTAGTAGTAGTAGTAGTAGTAGTAGTAGTAATAGTAGTAGTAGTAGTAGTAGTAGTAGTCGTAGTAGTAGTAGTAGTAGTAGTAGTCGTAGTAGTAGTAGCAGTAGTAGTAGTAGTAGTAGTAGTAGTAGTAGTAGTAGTAGGAGGGGTAGTGGTATTAGTAATAGAAATAATAATAGTCGTAGTCGTAGTAGCAGTAGAACTAGTAGTAGTAGCAGTAGCAGTCGTAGTAGTAGTAATAGTAGTAGTAGTAGTAGTAGTAGTAGTAGTAGTAGTGGTAGTAGTGGTAGCAGTAGTGGTAGTAGTGGTAGTAGTGGTAGTAGTAGTAGTAGTAGTAGTCGTAGTCGTAGTCGTAGTCGTAGTCGTGACGTAGTCGTAGTCGTAGTCGTAGTATTATTATTATTAATAGTAGTAGTCGTAGTCGTAGTAGTAGTGGTAGTCGTAGTAGTCGTAGTCGTAGTAGTAGCAGTCGTAGTAGTAGTCGTAGTAGTAGTAATAATAATAACCGTAGTTCTTGTAGTAAAGGTAGTCGTAGTGCTAGTAGTCGTGGTTGTAGAAGTAATTAATCGTAGTAGTAGTAGTAGTAGTAGTAGTAGTAGTAGTAGTACGTAGTAGTACGTAGTAGTCGTAGTAGTCGTAGTAGTCGTAGTAGTAGTAGTAGTAGTAGTAGTAGTAGTAGTAGTAGTAGTAGTAGTAGTAGTATCCGTACTAGTAGTAATGAAACGTAGTAGCGGTAGTCGTAACACTATACATGGTCGTTGATGTCCTGATATCAGAAAGACTGTGATAGCAACGGTAAATCGCACACTCGACAAATAGCATGTTGATGATGATGTCGCCTACGATGACGGCGGCAACGACGATGATGATGCTAGTGATGATGATGATTACGATGACGACGATGATGATGAGGTACAATGATGATGATGATGCTGATGCTGATGGTGATAATGACAGTGTGATTATGATGTGAGGGTGATGACAAGTATGGAGGAGGATGAGGAATAGCAGGGACATCGAGGAAGGGGGAGGATCCACGAGGGACAAGTGAGCCTGCGCCACTTCCCGCGTCAGTGATGGGCGGCAGCGCAAGAGTCGCGCGGCCTGGCGTGACCTCCTTCCTGGGGGCCTCCTAGCCCAGCGGCGATTTCTGGTCCGCGGTTGGCGCCTGCGGAGCGCGAGCAGCTTTATGGGCGGGGTGGCGCCGCCCCAAACATCTTTCGGGGGCGTCCAAGATGGGAGCACCCAAAACTGGGGGTCACTGAACCGTGTGGTGACAGGCCGCGCAGTGACCTCGAATACCTAAGAGACCTCGCCGCGCGGTCCGTCATCGCACGGTTTTGGGACCCTGGAGGCCCGTCGTCCGAGACGTCCTCGGAGAACGGCCCAAGTCCCAAGACCGTGCGTTGACTCCGAAGCCTCATTGACTCACTACGCGGTGTGGTCACCACACCGTTTGGGCCCCCCCCGAGGGGTTCGAGAATCATGGCCCGAAGCACGTACGCGGCCCGGAGAGGGGTCACGTGACGCAATGAAGTAAGAAGAGGGGGCCATGAACTCCGGGGAGACATCACGGCCCTGGCTATGATGTCCACCACCCTTCAATGATCACCCCCCTCTTGGCTGCCCCCGAGTCCTGCGCCTCGAAATCCGCCACCGTGCCGAGGCACGAGTTGGAGTGTTCTCTGGTCCATTGCTCCAATCCCCTGGAGCTTCAGTCCTCAAATCTTGAAGATTCTTTCAGGAGCCCGAGCCCCAGAGCCCCAGATTACCTATCCTCCCAAGGCTTGTCGCATGATTTGCTCGGGCTCACAACGGCCCCATGACTGGCCAAGAGTGCCTAAGAGGCCTCCAAGATGGCCCCGAATCGCTGAACGATCGGTCTAAGACGCCCAAGATGGGCTCCAATCGGTATTGAAATGCGCTCAAGACATCCCACGGGGCCTCCAAGGGCCTTCCCAAGAGGGCCCCGAAGAGTCAAAATCATTAATTATCCGCAGGCTTTTTGTGCCATACTTGTTTGGTTCTCCTCCCCAAGCGGCGCCCAATACTGCCCAAGAGGGGGAACACGAACCGAACATCCGAGCCTTCCGCCCCAAGAGGAACCCCGGAGGCCCCAAGAGGCCCCCAAAAGGCCCCAAGAGGCCAACGAGAGGCCCCCACGAGGCCCCAAGAGCCCTCCAAGAGGCCCAGAAGCGGTCCCAAAACTGCCTCCACGAGCCTCCCGAGAGGCATCCCGCGACATCCCAACGAACATCGTGGAGGCCTCTGACCCACAACCCAGGCACGGTGGAGGGATGGGCCGAAGGCCATTCGATAATCGACGCGAGGCGGGCGATCAGTCGCCAAGTTTGTCCTCTGGAAGCTGGTTTCGGGCTCTGGACCGTGGACCGTAAAAACAAATGGCTCGCGATGACATGCGAGCCCCAGAGAAGGGTCGAGAGGTCTGCATTGAACAAACCGAAACGCTAGATACCTGGGGCGGGGTTGCCCCCAGGAGCGCTTAAGTGGGTAGAGGTGAAGGAAGCATACGTTTGAAAGTGACGTGCAAGGTAAGAAACTGAAAGAAAGGGCCGGGTCATGCACGGCGAGAAGGTGTATGGTAAGGTCGAATTAGCCAGGTCGAGTCCCTCCCATAATTTAGGAATCAAGTGTGGCACAACTTGGTATTGGGGTTGGAACACATTCCCACCTGAAGCCGGACAAACTCAAACAGGAAAAGCGCATGCGAGGAGGGTGAAGCAGGATAGGCAAAATACGGTAATGGCAAGGATGTGACAGGGCAAGGGGAAGGGATCTATATCTTCACATATGATGTTATGTCTACCGGCCCCCTTGTGGGGCCACCAGGCTGCAGGACGAAGTGTGATGATCCGTGAAGAAAGGTTGCAGTTTCAAGTCTCCAATGTTACAGTCCTGCTTTCTGCTTTCCACTGTTAATTGTTCAAGTCCGCACGATGAAGGGGGGAGCCCCAAAGGACATGGTTACCATGCCCGGGTCTCGTGCTCTGAATTCCTGGGGGGGGGCGCGGGACACATTAAATTCATAAGGTTCGCGTCCCCGAGGCCATAATCCTCCGTGACTTACGCGATGTTCGCGTCCCCGAGGCCACAAACCCTTGTGCATTATATAATTTTGGCGTCCCCGAGGCAATAAACCTTAGTAAAGGATGCAATATTTGCGTCCTCGACGCAACAAACCTTCGCACATGTGCGATATCCGTGTCCCCGAGGCCATAAACCTTCGCAAATTACCCCGATTTCGCATTGCCGAGGCCACGAGTGCTCCAAGGCGCCCGAAGATGGTTCCAACGGGGCTCCCGAGAGAGCCCCAAAAGGCCGACATCGTATATTTTACGAGCATCTTTTGAAGCATTTGGCCCTTCTCGCATGTTCGGCTTTTCGACGCTCCAAGGTGGCTCAAGAAGCTCCCAAGACAGCCGAAGACGCCTCCAGGAGGGCCCCAAGACGGCCCAAGAGGGCTCCAAGATGGCCCAAGAAGCGCTCAAGATGGCCCAACAGGGTCCCAAGACGGCCCCAAGAGGGGCCCAAGCATGGGACCACGAACCGAACATTCGATATTTGTGCCCTGAGAAGCCCCCAGGAGGCCCCCAGGAGGCCGCCAAGAGGCCCCAAGAGGCCCCAAGAGGCGCGCAAGACGCGCCCAAGAGGCCTCAAAGAGGCCCACCATATACCCCACGAGGCCACAAGAGGCCCCCAAGAGGCGCCCTAACCGCCTCTATAAGAGGCCCCCGAAAAGTTCCCCGCGACACCCCGACACATGTACAAGAGGCCTCAGACCCACAACCCAGGCATGGCGGGATGGGCCGAAGGCCACTAGGATCCGCCGCCCCCTGTTGGCTTGCCACAGGGGTGCCCGGCGTCCTGGACCCTTTCGGTGTTTTGGTTTTGGTTGTTTTCCCCAAAGCTCCCCCCTGGGGCTCCCGCACAGCCCGCCGGCCACCCGGAAAGGACCGCAAAGGCGCGCAAACGACCCCAACGTCCGAAACAACTCCTCCAAGATGGCTCAAGATGGCCTCCAAGAGGGTCCAGCTGGCCCAAGATGGCTTCCAAATTCGGCCAAGATGGTCCAAGATGGCCTCCAACACGGCCTAAGAGGGTCTAAGATACTTCCAAGTCCGCCCAAGAAGCCTCCAAGACGGCCCAAGAGGTGCTCAAGAGGCCTCCAAGACGGCCCAAGAGCCTCCAGGAGGGCCCGAAGAGGCCAACACCTTTGATTTTCCTTGGGTTTCCGACATATTTTCGTATTTGCTCCTTTTCGGCCTTCGACGGCCCAAGAGGCCCCCAAGATCGCCCCCAGAGCGCCCAAGAGGCCTCCAGGATGGCCTCAGGACTGCCCAAGAGGCCACCAAGACGGAGCCCCAAGTCGGTTCAGAGAGGCCCCCAAGACGGCTTCCGACGGCGTCAGACGGGCCAGAAACGCCCTAAGACGGCCAGAGAGTCCTTCAAGAAGCCCCAAAGGCGCCCAAGAGGCCCAAGGAGGCCCCCCGAAGGCCTCCAAGAGGCCCCCCGGAAGCTCCTAGGAGGCCCCAACGGTGCCCCAAGAGACTTCCACGATGCCTCCTCCTCCTCCTCCTCCTCTTCCTTGTTCCTCCCTCTCCTCCACTTCCTCTTTCTCTCCCCATGTGTTCCCCGAATGCTTTCAAGACCGACTCGGGGAACACATGGTCCGATAGCTTGGCCAACCTCTAGCCCAACTTTCGGACACATAGGCGTTTCCAGAAAGGCTGGGGGCGGCGATGATTCGCCGTAGGCGTCTTCGATAACGCCAACGCCTCACTATGCGCTGATGATTCCTATCCGCCCCCGCATGATATTCCCAGGTGCGCCACGGCAGCGCCGAGACGCACCGACGCGGCTCTGAGTTATCCCATTATGATAGTGAGGGGGCCGGCGGCAGCGGGCGAAGCCCTTACGGATAGTACATGACATCAGATATAATAGATATGTGACGTAATATCTAGTATCTCTTCAATTGGAGAGAAGAGAGAGTGAGAGAGAGAGATATATATATATATATATATATATATAAAACAACAAAAAACAACGAGAGATAGGGGGCACCCGTGAAGGGAGGGAGGGCGGAGGAAGGGACGGGAGGGGATGGAAGATCACTGATGGGCAGGGGCGGACGAGGGAGGGCGGGGGTCGATAGAGTGAAGGGGAGATTAATGGATAGAGGGGTAGGGGGGTGAGAAGGGGGGATGGGAAGGGGGGGCGGCGGGAGGAGGATGAGGAGGGGGGGCGGGGGGGAAGTGGGGGAATCGAGGGTGTGAGAAGCAACGGGGGAGCGGGTGTGGGGGCCGAAGATGCAGGTTGACTGTATCTTCGTGAGGGTGTTTTGCCGTATCGTTTTGCTCATTCGCGCCGCCGTTCCGCAACACCTATTGAACCTCGAGAAATATTTAAGACCCCCCCCGGGATAATTTTACTACCGTAATTTTATTCAATATTCCACAGGGGCATTTTCTCGGAACGATATCTTTAGCACAAAACAAAATCCCAATCGGTGGTGGCCCCTATGGGGCCACGAGAGGAATTTGCAGGGAATGTCAAGGATCTTGCTAAGATCCCTGTTGCTTCCTAGGGAATGCCAGGAGTGTGGCTCAGATCTTTAGGAATTCCCAGGAAATGCTCGGGATCTGTGTCGAATCCCGGAGGATTCCTAGAGAATGCAGGGGATCTGGCCCAGATTTCTTCAGTACATGCTAGGAGATCTTCAAGATCTGGTGCAGATTCTCAGGCAATCCTCCTGGTGCCGAGGTAACGCTTCCATGGTGCCGGAAGTGTTATCGTTTCACTGGAAGGGGGGGGGGTCTTAAATACTTCTCGAGGTCATCATGCGCCCTTTTCCCCCCATCTTCTGTACCCGGTGGTGCGGCAGTGTGCCCTTCGTAACTGGTTCATCCCTGCTCCACCGCGCCGTGCCTACTAGTAGAAACACGTCCCAATGTTCCAGCTCACAGCTGATGTCCTCCATTCTCTCGTGAGTGTTCGCTGCCAATGGGTTGTAGTAACATATTATCAAGATGGCACAGAGAAAGAGTGACAAGAGTGACAAATACGGTACAATACAACTCATGCGTTGGCCTCTCCCTCCTGCCCTGTGATCTGGGGCAGGTCCCAGCACAGTCGGCCGAGTGCAATTGTGGACTGGATATCGTCGCTCGGGAATCTGAACTTCGAAATGCCGACTAGGGGGAGGAGGAGGCGGAGGAGGAGGACGATGACGACGACGACGACGACGACGACGACGAGGACGAGGACGAGGACGACGACAACGACGACGAGGACGAGGACGACGACGACGACGACGACGACGACGACGACGACGACGACGACGACGACGACGACGACGACGACGACGACGACGACGACGACGACGACTACGAGGATCGCCGCCTTGTCCAGCGCCTGCGCCTCCCGCAACTCTCGCGCCAGCCGCCCGCCGGCGTCCTTGGGCAGCCCCCGGGAGTGCTCCTGCGGGGGCGTCGGAGGCTCGGTGTCGAAACAAGTGCGAAACAAGTGCATGTCACTTAGGATGTCGGGGTTGGCATGTCACATCGGATTCCTGTCTTGTTTTGTGACTTGTTTGTTCGATGATCATGATGCTGGTGATGTCTTGTTTTGTGACTTGCTTGTTTGATGATCATGGCGCTGATTATGTCTTGTTTCGTTACCTGCATCCTAGGAATACGAGGCAACAGTCTGGAAACAACTGGGGTCGATGGAGCGCTGAGGAAAGCCGACGGGGGGGGGGGAGGGAGGAGGGAAGTACGTGGCCGATTCCGGAAGCCCTGGACCCAACAACGTCTGCGTCTCAATCTTTTGCTTCCGCCGCCTTCCGCCGGCGGACCGGGAGGAGAGGAGGGCGGCATCCTGTGGGGAGGTCTGCCCTGGGGGCGTGCCCGCAAGACTGGAAAAGCAAGAACACCCTCTCGTGCTCGCTAGCGTTGGGTCGGGCGTGTCCCCCTACGGGGGGATTTTGGGCAAACCATTTGTTTTGTGTCAAAAAACGAAAACACATATAACAAACCAAGAATACTCAATCCATGCTCACACATACTCACAAGATCGTCTCCCGCTTACATTTGGCCTATTTTTGAATATTCCTCCTGTCGAGGGACAGGCCCGACTCAACGCCAACGCCTTCGAGAGCGTCCTCCGGGTCCCCAGTGGCTTTCCCTGGAGGGCCAAGGCCCAGGCTGGGCGAATGGCGGTGTCTAGACGAGCGCGTTCCACTACTCGCAGAGTGACTACCCTGTAACGCCCCTCGCGAGGGTAGAAACCAATTTGATCACAATCACTCTCTGGAACGTCGTCGTGACGCTTGTTGCTAGCCTTACCGCGGTGTTACCATCATCATGTTTGTTTACTCCGCTGCGCATGGTGTCTCTTATTGCCGTGTTCTTTTTGAATGTGTATCTCCGTCCTGGCCCTCGGCGTCGTTGAGATGTTTATCCCAGCTCTGTTTGATGCTCCCATCTGGCTTTTGTTTGTCCTCGCCCTCCTCCTCCTCCTCGTTCTCGTCATTTTTCTTCTCCCTATGCTCCTCCTCCTCCCCCATCGTCCTCCTCCTCGTCCTCCTCCTCCTCCTCCTCCCCCTCCTCCTCCTCCTGCTCCTCCTCCTCGTCCTCATCGTCATCACCATCATCATCAACCTCCTGCACATCCTCCGCCGACTTCCCGTCTCTTTTCCCTCCTTCCCTTCCTGCTCTTCCTCCTCCTCGTAGGGCCTTGAGGGACCTCGCGGGGCATCCTGGGACCTCCTGGAACGTCCTGGAGCCTCCTGGGGATTCCGACGACCTCCGGGGGCGTCCTGAAGTCTCCTGGAGCTTCCCGATGCCGCCTGAGGCCTCCTGGGGCCTCTTGGCAGCTCTCTGAGAAGCCACGCGCGGGGCCAGCGCCCTAAGAGGCGATTGTTGGGGCTCCAGAGGGGCGAGGCTATTTGAAGATCTCCTCTTTTTTGTCCGATGTCCTCCAAGACGCCCCCAAGAGCATCCCTCAAGCATCCAAGAACGCCCCAAGAGGACCCCAGGAGGCGCCCAGACTGCCCCAAGAGGCGCCCAAGAGGCCTCTAAGAGGCTCCCACGAGACCCCCAAGAAGCCTCAAGAGGATCCCCGAAAGACATTTAAGCAACTTCTGGATCTTCGGTTCGCCGTCCTCCTCTTCCTCATCCACCTCTTCCTCCTACCCCCTCCTCCCCCTCACCCTCCTCCTCTCCTCCTCCTCCTCCTCCTTCTCCTTCTCCTTCTCCTCCTTCTCCTCCTTCTCCTCCCTCTCATCCTTCTCGTCCTCCTCGTCCTCGCCCTACTCAATCTCCTCCTCCTCATTCTCCTTATTCTCCTCCTCCTCCTCTTCCTCCTCCTCCGACGACGATTCCTCCTCCATCCTCCCCCTCTTGGGGTATATGACAGTTTCCCCCACCCTTTGTTCTTCTGCATGCTCCCCCGCTTCCCTGATCATCTCAACTCCTCTGGGCATCGTTTCTGGATGGGCTGGTGGGTATACTTTTTTCTTGCCAGCCGCAGGCGAGCGCGCCGACGGCGTGTCAAGGTCCGAGCGGGCCGCGCAAGAGTACTGGTGGGTATACTTTTTTGATCTGCGGCCCAAAGGACGATTCCAGCGGGCGGGTCTATCAAGGCGTCTGGGGCACAGAGCTAGATAATTGCGAGTCCAGCCGTCACTGTCGACAGCCGACCGCGCCTGCACATGCACGGAAACGAACTAAATTCAAGAGACGCATACGGGCGCGGGAAGTGCGAGGAGTCGCCGAAACGGCGCCAGCTTAACGACGACCTGCCCGGAACACGTGGTGATAAAACTCGACTCCCAACTGGAGAGTGGGAGCCAGTGCGACCCAAACCAGGCGACCCGCTGGGCGAACCACGCCTAGATGCCGGCGACAACCCAGGAGACAAATCGTCACCCGCCTGGTCGCCAGCGAGGGCCCTGGACAGAGAGCGAGCACTAACCTGAGAGCGAGCACTAACCTTACTTGACGCGCGAGCCGAACGCTGCCACACGGGCCGCTCATCAGGCTCATGAGGCGACAGATCGGGCACTCTGTTGCTCTCAACGCTGCTCCACCTGCCAGGCGAGCGAGGACTCAGATCGTCATGACGCACGCCTGTGCCCTGTTCGACGTCGGGGGCGTCGACGTTGAAGCCCGCCCGTTCCTTCGCACGACCAGAGCGTTTGCTGCACAGGACGAGCACCATGCCGCCACAGCACAGGAGCAACCCCACGCCGACGCCCACGAAGATGATTAACGAGGTCGAGGCCGAGAACTGCGATTCCGACGTGGCCCCCACATCGTCGAGCTGTGCTCCTGACATCGACACCGTGCCCGTCGCCACCGAGCCCGCCTCGAGCGCAAGGCCGCGGTTCGCAAGGGCGCCGTCCAGCTCCTGCGAGAACGTCCCGGCGGAGCCGCTCATCGCCCCAGCCGCCTGCGTGACCTGCGACGCGGTGGCGTAGTCCGCCACAACCTCGTAGACCGCCCGCCACGCCGTGGCGACTGTCAGGCTCCGCGCGGGCGTCGGCGTCGCCGGCGCGCCAGCGGCCAGCCTCCGCGCGGCCGCCTCGGACACTGTCACTGTCAGCTGGTCACTCGTCACGCTCAGAAGGGCGAGCAGCACCTCGGTGACGGCCTCGCGCACCTCGTCCTGCGTGCCGGTGCTGGAGAGCGACAGCGTTGGAGGAGGGGGGGGAGGCGCAGCCGATAGCCGCAAATCTGGTGAATACTGGAAGGAGAGGCACAGGTGGGCCAGGCGACACAGACAGCCGAGGACCCAACAGAGCGTGCCCGGGGCGGGTCAGGGGGGAAGGTCGTCGGCGTCGTGCAGCGGGACAGGCCCGTCGTGGGAAGGCAAAGCCTGCCAAAGGATGAACCACTTGTGCAGGAGTGTGCCTGCCGTGTGTGTGTGTGTGTGTGTGTGCGGGCGTGTGCGGGTGCGTGTGTGTGTGTGTGTTGTGTGTGTTGTGTGTAGTGTGTGTGTGTGTGTGTGTTGTGGGTGGTGTGTGTTGTGTGTTGTTTGTGTGTTGTGTGTATGTTGTGTGTTGTGTGTTGTGCGTGTTGCGTGTGTTGTGTGTGATGCGTGTGTGTTGTGTGTGTTGTGTGTTGTGTGTGTTGTGTGTGGTGTGTGTGTGTGTGCGTTGTGTGTTGTGTGTGTTGTGCGTGTTGTGTGCGTGGTGTGTGTGTGTGTGTGTGTGATGCGTGTGTGTGTTGTGTGTGTGTTGTGTGTTGTGTGTCTTGTGTGTTGTGTGTTGTGTGTGTTGTGTTTGTTGTGTGTGTGTGTTGTGTGTTGTGTGTTGTGTGCTGTGTGTAATGTGTGTATTGTGTGTTGTGTATTGTGCGTGTTGTGTGTGTGTGTTGTGCGTTTGGTGTGTGTTGTGTTGTGTGTGCTGTGTGTAATGTGTGTAATGTGGGTTGTGTGTTGTGTGTGTTGTGTGTTGTGTGTTGTGTAGGTTGTGATTGTTGTGTGTGTGTGTGTGTTATGTGTGTTGTGTGTGCAGGTTCTGTGTGTGGTGTGTGTATGTGCTTTGCGTGTGTGTTGTGTGTGCTGTGTGTGTTGTGTGTGTTGTGTGTTGTGTGTGTGTGTTGTGTGTGTGTGTGGTGTGTTGTGTGTATTGTCTGTTGTGTGTGTGTGGTGTGTGCGTGTTGTGTGTGTTGTGTGTGTTGTGTGTGTTGTGTGTTGTGTGTTGTGTGTGTTGTGTGTGCTGTGTGTGTTGTGTAGGTTATGTGTGTTGGGTGTGTGTGTGTGTTGTGGGTGTTGTGTGCGCGTGTCGAATGTGGTGTGTATGTGTTGTGCGTGTGTGTAGTGTGTGTGTGTGTTGTGTGTGTGTGTTGTGTGTTGTGTGTTGTGTGTGTTGTGTGTTTTGTGTTGTGTGTTGTGTGTAGTATTTTGTGTGTGTGTGTTGTGTGTTGTGTGTGTGCTGTGTGTGTGTTGTGTGTGCGTGTGTGTTGTGTGTGTTGTGTGTGTGCTCTGTGTGTTGTGTGTTATGTGTGTTGTGTATGCGTGTGGTATGTGTGTTGTGTGTGTGTTGTGTGTGTTGTGTGTGCTGTGAGTCGTGTGTGTGTGTGTGTTGTGTGCGTTGTGTGTAATGTGTGTGTGGTTGTGTGTGTGGTTGTGTGTGTTTTGTGTGTGTTGTGTGTGTTGTGCGGTGTTGTGTGTTGTGTGTGCGCGTGGTTGTGTTGTGTGTTGTGCGTGTGTTGTGTGTGCGCGTTTGTGTTGTGTGTGTGTCGTGTGTGTTTTGTGTGTTGTGTGCGTTGTGTGTGTGTTTTGTGTGTTGTGTGTGTTGTGTGTTGTGTGTTGTGTGTGGTTGTGTGTGTGGTTGTTTGTGTGTGTGGTTGTGCGTATGAGGTTGTGTGTGTGTTTGTGTGTGTGCAGTTGTATGTATGTGTGGTTGTGTGTGTGGTTGTGTGTGTGTGGTTGTGTGTGTTGTGTGTGCGTGCGGTTGTGTGTGTGGTTGTGTGGGTGTGTGGTTGTGTGTGTGGTTGTGTGTGTTTGTGTGTGTGGTTGTGTGCGGTGGTTGTGTGTGTGAGGTTGTGTGTGTGCGGTTGTGTGTGTGGTTGTGTGTGTGAGGTTGTGTGTGTGGTTGTGTGTGGTTATGTGTGTTTGGTTGTGTGTGCGGTTGTGTGTGGTTGTGTGTGTATGGTTGTGTATGTGTGGTCATGTGTGTGCTTGTGTGTGTGGTTGTGTACGTGCGTGTGTGGTTGTGTGTTTAGTCGTGTTAGTGCCTGGTTGTGTGTGCCTGGTTGTGTGTGCCTGGTTGTGCGTCTGGTTGTGTGTGTGGTTGTGCGTGTGGTTGTGTGTGTGTGGTTGTGTGTGTGTGCGGTTGTGGAAGTGTGGTTGCGTGCGTGGTTGCGTGTGTGGTTGTGTGCGTGGTTGTGAGTGTGTGGTTGTGTGTGTGGTTGTGTGCGTAGTTGTGTGTGGTTGTGTGTGTGGTTGTGTGTGTGTGTCGTTGTGTGTGTGGTTGTGTGTGTCTGTGGTTGTGTGTGGTTGTGTGTAGTTGTGTGTGTAGTTGTGTGTGTGGTTGTGTGTGGTTGTGCGTGTGGTTGTGTGTGTGTGGTCAGCTACGTGGTTTTGTGTGTGGTTGTGTGTGTGGTTGTGTGTGTTGTGTGTGTGGTTGCGTGTGTGGTTGTGTGTAAGGTTGTGTGTGTGTGTGGCTGTGTGTGTGGTTGTGTGTGCGCGGTCGCGTGTGTGTGCTTGTGCGTGTGTCGTTGTGTGTGGTTGTGTGTTGTGTGTACGTTCTCTGTGGTGTGTGTGTGTGTGCGTGTGTGTGCGTGCGTGCGTGCATGCGTGCGCGCGTGTGTGTGTTGTGTGTGTGTGTTGTGTGTGTGTGTTGTGTGTTGTGTGTGTGCGCGCTTGCTTTATCAATACAGGCTGCCGAGATGTCGCGACCCCTTCCCCGTGACCGCTTCTCCGCCCAGGACCCATCTGCTGACGCCCTGGAGCCCTGCATTGGCCCCTGCATGGAGGCCGAACGTTGCGAAACACAGCAGTTCCGTAACGTTTTCTTGCCCCAGACAACGGAAGCCCTGGGGCATCTCCCTGTGCCTGCAAGCTCGGGCCGGGGCCCGTGAGGGCGCGCCACGCGCGCGCGAGCGCGTGTGGCCGCGGGTCCTGCACGGCCCGGTCGAAGGTGTCGAGCATGTGGTCGCAGACCTCGGGAAGGACGCAGTGGGGGGGGGGGCGGGGGATGATGATGACAGTGATGGTGGTGATGATGATGATGCTGATGATGATGTCGATGAGAATGATGATGATGATGATGATGATGATGATGATGATGATGATGCTGATGCTGATGATGATGATGATGATGATGATGATGAGGATGACGATGGCGATGATGATGCTGATGCTGACCATGGTAGTGATATGGATGGAGGTGGTGATGATGAGATGGGGGGAATCAGAAAGATAAGACAAAACAATGCCTCGGTGAGTTCGGAGGGCGAGCACGCCAATTCCTGGCAAAGAAAACAAGGTATGCAATCGATTTTCTGGCCCGCGTCTCCTCTATTCTCTGAATGAGAGCAGCCACTCTCTGCTCATACTGTGGGGCAACCTGATCACAAGAAACACTTTGGGGGACCGTTGAAAAACTTTGTACCTCAACCGTCGAAACACCTTGGGCCGCCAGAAAAGCTTCGGGGGAACGTCGGGAATCTGAGAACGTAATCGCGACAATGTAATGGCCTTACCCAACAGCTCCCTCTACCGAGGGTTCGGCCCCAAGACGCGTTGGAAAACACTTCGCACCTCAAGCCCCTTACTGGTCGGCTACTCGCACTTTCGAGCAAGCTTGACGATTCGTCTTTGCGACCAGCCTCCGCACTTGAGATTGACATCGTTTACTGCGTTACTCCCAGAACCCCCCACGGCCCCGAAGAAACATCACCAGGCACTTTAAGAGGCGCACCCGTAACAGCGACGAGAACATGGCCCTTTGGATCCGCGAGCAGCGTGGCAGTAGCAAGGGGTTTTCCTTGACGCCCATCCCCTGGTCTCGCTGCAGACTGGCACACTATCAAGAAATGACCGCACTGCATACCTAGCTCCTTCTGCCTCGAAAGGTGCCAGTTCTGCTTTAACCTGGATCTCCTCAGAAAGGGATGGCCACGTCTCCACCTCATCTCATTCCGAAACAGGGCCAGAACAGCACTAGCAACTCGAACGCAAACCTTCGCCCTGCTGTCAGCTATATCATGGGCTGTGAGCAAGGATGGGTTTGCCTTAGGATGCCCAGCCAGAGCCCAATTGCCATGTTTGTCAACTATCTTGTTGGCCTGGCCGGAACGATACCCATCCCCTTGAAACTGCTCTGGCTCTTCATCCGTCCGATGATGTTTAACCTGAGGAGCCTTTGAACAACTTAGTGCCCTCGAACTCGAAGGCGAACTACGGGCTCCAGTCAACTTCTTCTGGCATTCGAGTTGCTTAGGAACAGGCCTATGGATGCACTGAACATTCCCCGAACAATCGAGCCCGAGCTCTGTGGGTCAATCGGCAGCTTGCGCACGAAGGGACGCCGCGCCGCGTTCGGCCATCCCTGGGCTCTGGAGGCCCCCGAGACCACCAGCAGAAGCCCAAGAACCCCCAAGAGGCCCCAGGAAGCCCTCAAGAAGCCCAAACGAGGCTCCCAGAGGCCCCCAAATGGTCTCCAAAAGGCCCCCAATGGTTTCCAGCAGGCCCTGAAACGCCAAAACGCCGTGAACTTCTGACCTCTTCTCGGGGTCGGCGGAATAGCGCAAGCCTCTGGGTAAATTGGGGATCTCTGGGTTCTGCCGGCTCTGGAGGATGCATCGAGTGCCGTGGCCTTCTCGGAGCCTTCCCGAGCGCTCTGCGAGCGTTTCTCGAACGCCCTGGAATGAATTATCCCTGTCCGAGCCCCGCCCGACCAGCGGACCCGGTAGGCTCTGGCCCCATCCGTGGGGGCTGGAGGGCCGCCCCGAACCTCGGGGGCGGCCAAGAGGGGGGCGTCCAAGAGGGGGGGGGGGGGGGGCAAATCACGGCCAGCGGCACGTGCGCGGCACAGGGGGGGGCGCTTGGGGACGTATTGAGATAAGAAGGGGCGCCATGAAATCTGGGGAGATATCATGGCCCCCGCCATGATCTCCCCCCCCCCCAATTGTCAGCCCCCCTGTGCCGACCCCGAACGATGACATCGGCCAGCGCCGCGCGCAGACCCGCGCACGCGGCGCCGGTTCGATCGAGCCGTGGGCAGCCCCGGTGCGCCCGTGCCGTGGGGCCTGGGCGCGCCAAGGCCCCGCGCGGAGGCGTAGGTCGTGGAGGAGGAGGAGGAGGAGGAGGAGGAGGAGGAGGAGGAGGAGGAGGAGGAGGGGGAGGAGGAGGAGGAGGAGGAGGAGGAGGAGGAGGGGGAGGAGGAGGAGTAGGAGGATGAGGAGGAGGAGGAGGAGGAGGAGCAGGAGGAGGAGCAGGAGGGGGAGGAGAAGCAGGAGGAGGAGCAGGAGGGGGAGGAGAAGAATGGGGAGGGGGGGCTCCAGAGCAGCCCCTCCGAGGGAGCCCTGGCATCAACGTCCCTGCGCGACGGTGGCGGTACAGTGCTACGGCCGGGAGCTTTTTCTTGGCGTGTTGCGGCCCCGCCGACACGCTGTGCCTTGCGAGCGGATAGCGTGCCGCTCCGCTCCGCGGGGCAGGGGGGCTGGGAAAAGCGCAGAGCGTTGACATGCCTTCGGACCAGGACGGGGATAGCGTGTCGCGCGGAGGCATGGTGGGCCAGAGCTGGCGACGCCACATGCTAAGCCCCAATTCCTTACCATACATCCCCTCCCAGGCCCCCCCCCACCCAATCCTTTGTAGTAACATCGCGGGCCGAGTCGCGCGGGCGCCATCAACTGAAAAATCTGCACAAACAGAAACGTTCGAATTTCCGCGTGGAGTTCTTGGATCGGCGCTGGACCCCTCCGAGCGCGCCAGGGACCGCGCCGGAGTTGCCGACAGGGCGGTTCAGTGCAGATCCGAGAACTCCGCGAGGACCTTAGAATGTTTCCATGTCTGTGCATGCTTTTCCCTCTGCGAGGCACGCCATCCTGCCCCTCCTGGGATGCCCCTGGGCCCGGGACCCGCGACAGGTTGTCCAGCGACTCCAGCATGGCAGCCTCTGCCGTGGTGGTCCCCTCGCGGACCTCGACCCTCACGTTCATGACGGGCTCCGAGGGGTGCAGCACGTGGTACGCGGCGAACTCCACGTCGGGGTGCCTCATCAGCATGTGCCGAATCGAATTCCCCAGCGTGTGGTCCTCGTCGTCGTCGTCGTCGTCGTCGTCGTCGTCGTCGTCGTCGTCGTCGTCGTCGTCGTCGCTCTCTCCTCCTCCCTCTCCGGCTCTCCCCTCCTCTTCCACCTTCTCCCTCCTTCTGTTCCTCCTCCCCCCTCCGCCTGGTCTACATACCTTCTTTTCCTCTCTCCCGCGTCCCTCCGCCTGAGCTCTCCTTCCGCCGGCCAGCAGACCTTCGCCTAACCCATCCTCTGCTGCTGCTACGCCTTCTCCGTCCCCTCCTCCTCCTCCTCCTCCTCCTCCTCCTCCTCCTCCTCCTCCTCCTCCTCCTCCTCCTCCTCCCCTCCGTCCTGCCTCCTCCGCCCCTCCCTCCCTCCGTCCCTCCCTCCTCCTACCTTCCTCGTCCTCCTCCTTCCCCCCTCCTCCTCTGTCGCCTCCTCCTCCTCCTCCTCCTCCTCTTTCTCCTCCTCCTCTTCTGACTGACTGCGCTCGACGAGGGCCCGTCCTCGTCCTGGAACTGGAACGTCGCGACGCCAGGGTCCCCGTCATCCCGAGTGGCGCTCCCTGGGCCTTCGGGCGCGCGTGTGCCACGACCAGGCCCAGTGCTCGAAGAAGGGCGCTGGGCGCAGAGGAAACAATACGATGGGGAGGAGGCGGAGGATGATCTCTGGGCTCGTGGATCCAGGTCTTGGGTCTTGGATGTTTTTTCAAGGCTCCGTAAACAAGGACTCTGATGCACCAAAGCATTGGCACGACCGAGAAACACGCAGCCGTGGGTTGAAGCATTCGCCATTGGCCGTGTCTCCAACCGGAACTGGCAAGGTCTCCTCCTCTTCCTCTTCCTTCTCCTTCTTCTCCTCCGCCTCCTCCTCCTCCTCCTCCTCCTCCTCCTACTCCGCCTCCTGCTCCTCCTGCTCCTCCTCCTCCTCCTCCTCCTCCTCCTCCTCCTCCTCCTCCTCCTCCTCCTCCTCCCTGGTCTTCAGTGCCCTGGCTCCAAGGCCCCTGGTTTTTTTGGCCCCTTTCGGTCCTCCGGAGGCTTCGGGCGAGCTCCGCGGGGATCTCTGGAGACCCTCGGACACGCCCTGAAGGAGGGAAGGAGGGGAGGCGGAGGGGGAGTACGAGGAGTAGGGATGAGGGGGAGGAGGGGGGGAGGGGGAGGAGGGGGAAGGAGGGGGAAGGAGGGGGAGGATGGGGAGGAGGGGAGGGAGGAGGAAGGCGGCGAGGATGGGGAGGAGGAGGGGAGGCGGGAGAGACGGGCGCGCGCAGGGAGAGGCGGCAAGGGGGAGGCGGAGCAGGATCGGGAGGTGGGCGGGAGTCCGTGTGTGGGCAACGGCTGGCCTCCTCCCCCTCCTCTTGCAGAGAGCCACCGTCGTCGTGCCCAGATTCTCACCGTCCTGCCTGCGATCGTCGTCCTCGTCGTTGTCTCGGTCAGCCTTGCTGCTCCTGCGCGCGGAGCCGTGGACACAGAGCTCGACATACAGTTGTCGTGCAGCCAGAGGGAGCGCCGAAGAAGGGACGGAGATGGCCATTTCTGGCCACGGCCAGGCGAATAGACTCCCCGACCGAACGAGATCTGAGGAGCGGCCCGAAAATCAGAGCCCCTCCTCCTCCTTCCTCCTCCTTCCTCCTCCTCCTCCTCCCTCCTGCCCGTCCTCCTCCTCCTCCTCCTCCTCCCTCCTGCCCGTCCTCCTCCTCCTCCTCCTCCTCCTCCTCCTCCTTTGGTCTTTCTTCCAGCGTCTTGACAGTGATAGAAGCAGATCGAGAGCTTCGCAGCACTGTAGCCCCAGCGGCCAGAGCATTCTGCCGCTCCCTGCGCGAGTTCTCCACGAAGCGGCCCCAGAGCCCGCAGACCTCACCCCGACCCTCGGTGCGAGGCCTCTCCCTGGACATCGACCCGACCCCTGCCTGTTCCGTAACGCAGCCGCTGTGCCCCCTTCCTCGCAGAGGTCGAGGTGTCGAGGGCCCGTGCCCCGAAGAGACCCGGGCGGCGGCTGTCTGGGCCGCAGCCTCCCCGAGGCCCCGGCGTCGCGACTCTGCCGCTCCAGGGCGGTCTTGGTCTGGCTCCTGGGCCCGCGGGCCCTCTCGGATCGTTCCGGCTCGAGAGATGCAGCAGAAACACCTCGGCCGACCCCAAAGGGGGTCCAGCTCAAAGGGGGTGGTGCAGTGGACTTGGGGCAATGCAGCGAATGTGTTGCACGCGAAAATCCAGCAATACATCTGCGCCCCGGAATGTATTGCACGACCCAAGTGTACCGCAGCCCACGCGAATCTAGTGCACCAAGTCTATTGCACCACCTCCTTGTCGCTGGACCCCCTCTTGGGTCAACCCGAAACATTGGGTCCAGGACACTGGCCTCGTATGCGTCGCGATGCTGCAATTGTGCGCGGAGGGCCTGCCAGACGAGGTCTTGCGAACCCGAGAAGCACGGCACGGATATCAAGCTTTGAAGCTCCACGCGGCTTCCTTGGATCGGCTCTGGGCCCCTCTGGCGGCGCCTCTGAAGCCGTCCCTGGCGGAGCTCCTAGACTGCATGCTGATGCTGTTTTTATTCATCACATTTGGCCGCCCGTGCGCTGATCCTCAGTCCATGGGGACCCACAGTTCCGTTCTTCATAGGACGGGCGGTTTTTGGCCGTCTCTAGCCACCAGGGGCCCTCACCAGGCGCCAGGACTGTCAGAGAACGACTCAGGATGAAAAACCTGTCCCGAGGAAAGGGTCCAGACCCCTGGGGATCCACGTGGTGAACAAAATCACAACGTCGGAGCTCTGGGGATGAGGATGTCACCGCACGCCTGCTTACACGGTAGCTCCGCTTGGGAGGCCGCTTACGAAGGGACGTCCCTGCCCCAATATAAGGCGCACGCCAGAGCCCTCTTGAGGGCGCATTGCGGGGGGGAGCTGCGGCAGCAGGCCAGCGGCTCACAAGACCGGCTCTGGTCCTTGCTCTGGGCCCGGTCCGCAGGCCCGATCTCGCCGCAGCCCTCAACCAGGGGCTCTCTTTCGATGTGCTGCTGGGCCAGCGCTCGCTCAGCAGGCTTCGTGGGCGGCTGGTCGCACTCAGCCACTCGTCAGGTTCCCTTGCTTCGGCCAGGAGGCAGGCTTGCGTCCTTTGCGGTGCGCAGCCTCTGAGTCTGACCTTCCGTGTCCTCGGGAACTGCAGCCGCACGGAGGGCCTCAGGCGGGCCTGCTGGGAGGCCCGCGGCGGCGCGGCTCCCTCCTCCGGGGAGGCTGCGGCAACGGCGGCTCTGGCGGCCGCCCTGGGAGACGCGGGGTGCCAGGAGGTGGCGCTGCTGGCGCTTCGCGTGGAAAGGGCGGCGGATCGTTTCCGCGCGGCCGCCGGCAGGAAATTGCACCCCCCTCGTGCTCCCCCCTCCCTCCCTCCCCTCTATACCCGGTGCTCCGGGTAGGTGGGTCGGGTCGGGTTGGGTCTCCCCTTCCGTGGGGTGGCTTCCTCTCCCTCTTCCTGTCACCGTCCCGTACTTGCGGAGTGCGTCGACCAGGCAGTGCAGCGGGGATCGGACAAGCCCCAGGCAGGTGCCCCCTGCCTGGCCACCCCCCGCACCGCGGGGAGTCTCTGAGTTGCCCCTCTTGCTTCGCTCTGGCCGGGGCCCGGGGGCGGAGGTGTGCCTGCTCCAGGAAGTTTTTTTGTTCGAAGGTCTGTGCGGAGTTTCTGGGTCATTGCCGGGACCGCCTGGTGCCGCTTTCAGCGCCGCCCCGGTTCGCGTCGCGTGCCTTGGGGGGGGGGTCCAGCACCGCCTCAGAACTTGCACAGGCCACTGGAAGAGCACAGCCTCCGCATTCTCTCCCCTCCTCCCCTCCAGGGTCGGCGGCCTGGCCCCCAGAGCCGTCGCAGCAAGGTCGCTTCCGAACCCTCTCCGGGTCGCGGCCCCTTGCTAGAAGGAAGCGGCGTCCGACGCTTACGCCGCCAGCTCAATGGGAGCGCACCAACCAACCACCTCATCCTCCTCCTCCTCCCTCCTCCTCCCTCCTGCCCGTCCTCCTCCTCCTTCTCCTCCTTTGGTCCTTCTTCCAGCGTCTTGACAGTGATAGAAGCAGAACGAGCTACGCAGCACTGGAGCCCCAGCGGCCAGATCATTCTGCCGCTCCGTGCGCGAGTTCTCCACGAACTGGCCCCGGAGCACGCAGACCTCACCCCGACCCTCGGTGCGAGGCCTCTCCCTGGACATCGACCCGACCCCTACCTGTTCACCTCAACCTCGAGCGCGGTGCCCCACCTCGAGCCCGACGATCTGCCTCCACCGTCAGTGCCACCCCGGAGGATGCTCAGTGGATGGGGGACTTCGGCCGGTGCAAGTCAGCGGCGCTTCCCTGCCGCTTGCGTGCGCCATCCTGCGCGAACGTTTGAGGAGGAACGAACAACGGGGGGGACTGGCTCAGGGGGGGGGAAGTCGACTCTCGCCATCGCTCGGACGTCCATTCCCTGTGTTTTTTTCGGTTTCGTGCGTGGTTTTTTCGCCAAATGATCAAGGATGCTCCTCGATGGTCCTCGCCGAAGGAAAAATGCACACGTCCGAGCGATGCCAAGGACTCGGAATCTGCGATGCAACGCCGAGAGATCGGCGATGGGCCCCCGAGAGCACACCCGCACGCTCTGGGGCAGGGTGGGCTAGAGGCGCCCTCGGCGATGGATGGGCGATGACGGGGGTCGAGGTAATTATCCCCTCCTGGGGAATCCGCCACAATGATGCTCATCGTCTGGTTTTCGGGTCATAACTCGGGCCTCTGGCGGCCGTTCGGGACTCTCGGCGAGGCGCAGCTGCTGGAGCGCACCCCGAGGCTGGAAAAAAGCCGCCGAACATCCACGGAGGCGCCCGAAAGCAGCGAGGACTCCGCGCCTCGAGGCCGAAGCCGCTGCCCCGGACAGTCCCGCCCCTGAGCCTGTCCTGAAGTCGGGCCTGTCCCTCTGCAGGGGGATTTTGGACGAAAAACCAAAAATACCCCGCAAGTAAACCAAAAATAAACAAAAAGAGTCCAAACATCGTCCCCAGACTATCTTTTTAATTGTTTTTTTGAATCTCCCCCTTGTAGAGGGACAAGCCCGACTTAGGCCCATCCCCCAATAAACGTTGCACATGCACGCGTCGCCTTCCTGCCGCCTCCCCGCCGCCCCACCTTGGCGGCGCGCACAAGGGGGCGGAGAGAGGGGGGAGGGCTTCTTAGAAGGAGGCTGCTTCTTAGAAGGCGCCAGCCTCACATCTATAGATGAGGCCCGCGCCTTCTGAGAAGCAGGGGTGCTTCTAAGAAGCCCTCCCCCCTCCCCCCACCCCCCTCTGCGCGTGGCTGAGCTCCCGCGCGCTGCCCCAGCTCGGGTCGGGCGAAAGGGGGGGATAGCAAAGGGGGGGTTTGAGAATCAGCTCACGTAGCTGATTTTCCCGGCGCCTCCCGGCGCCGGAGGCGGCTATGTATCGAGGAATGGGCCCCTCGGTGAGGCCGAAACCAGCTGCATGCAGCAAATTTCGTACCCCCCCCTTTCCCAATCCCCCCCTTTCGCCCGACCCGACCAGCGCGCCCGTCCGCGGGGTGCCGAAAGTGCCCGCCGCGGCGGCGCTCTCGCGGCGCGGCCGGCCGGGCGGCCGCGAGGCGACGCGGGCTCCGGGGGGTCGGGCGATGCACCCGGGCCTGGCTTTGAGCGTGGAGCCGGACGGACCAGCCGCCGAGACTGGGCCTCCTCCTCCTCGATCCTCCTCCTCCTCCTCCTCCTCCTCCTCGATCCTCCTCCTCCTCCTCCTCCTCCTCCTCCTCCTCCCTCCTCCTCCTCCTCTCTGCCCCCTCCCTCCTCCTCGTCCTCTGCCTCCCCGTCCGTCCTTCTCTTCCCACTGGTCCATCCTCCTCCTCCTCTTCCTCCTCCTTTTCCTCTTCCCCTCCTCCTCCTCCTCCTCCTCCTCCTCCTCCTCCTCCTCCTCCTCCGTTTCCTCTTCCTCCTCCCTCTCCTCCTCCTCTCCTCCTCCTCCTCCTCCTCTTCCTCCTCGTCTTTCTCCTCCACTTTCTCCCACTCTTTCTCCTCCTCTTGCTTCTACTCTTTCTCCTCCTCTTTCTCCTCCACTTTCTCTTCTGCTTCTCCTCCCTCATCCTCCCTCCTCTCCTCCCCCTCCCCCTCCCCCTCCCCCTCGTCCTCGTCGTCGTCGTCGTCGTCGTCGTCGACCCCCTTCTCCTCCGACTCTTGTTCCCCCTCCTACTTCCTCCCTCCGCTACCTCATCCTGCCCTTCTCCTCCTTCTCCTCCTCCGCCTCCCGGCCTCCCTCCCTCCCTCCCTTCCTTCCCTCCGTCCTGCCCTTTTTCCTCCCACTGCTGCCGGCGGCGGGTCAGGGTCCGCGATGGCGCCTGGTTGGACGTCGATGCCTGCGCCAGGCAGCGTGTCTGGCGTCTTGTCGGGCATCGCGTCGGCACTCCCCCCCCCCCCTGGCAGCGCCTCGGCCAAATGGCTGCAACATCTTCTGGCTGCTGGTTCTTGCACTCGTATTTTACAACATATATCCGCCACTATGCCCCCTGGCACGCTGAGGCGTGGAGGAATGTCAAGGTTTGTCCGGTTGGGTTTTTTATCGGAGAAGCGACCGCCTCTCCCTCTACCTTAGGTTTCTTGCGCGCATTCCCCCTACTCACCGAGGCCACTTCCACGCGTGCTCGCTCGAGGATGGTGCACTTCCCGCATGGCAGCTAATGCCTGAACCCCCCTTCCACGCGTGCCCGCTTGCGGATCGCGCACTTCCCGCATGGCAGCTAATGCCTGAACCCCTCTTCCACGCGTGCCCGCTCGAGGATGGTGCACTTCCCGCATGGCAGCTAACGTCTGAACCCTCATTCCATGCGCGCCCTCTTGAGGACTGCGCACTTCCCGCATCGCTGCTACCTCCTAAATCCACCATCGAACGCGCACCCGCTCGAGGAAACATGCACGTCCCGCTTTCCCAGGCGCTGCTCCCAATCGCTTCAGGGACTCCCAAGCCACGACCATTTGATAGAACAACGATGGATGTGCGTCCCGAGCTTCCAAGACGGCCCGAGTAGGCAACCGACACCAAGATGGCCCAAGATGCCTCGAAGACGGCCCAAGATGGCCACAAGGCAGCCGAATCTTGTTCAAGACGGCCTAAGATGCCTTCAAGGGGGCCCAACAGGGCCACAAGAGGACTTCCAACAGGGTCCGAAAAAGCCAAGAGTCAAGGCGCCCCCAAGACGGCCCAAGAGGGCCTCCAGCGGGACCAAGACGGCCTTAGAAAGCCCTTGGACGGCCCAAGACGGCGCCAAGACGGCCCCATGACGTCTCCCAGACAACCACCATACGGCCAAGATGGCCCCAAGACGGTTCAAGAGAACCTCAAGTCGGCGTAAGAGGTCCCGAGGACGGCCCACGAGGGCCCCAAGGGATTCCCAAGACTGCACACAGGAGGCCAACACAACTCCCAAAACGCCCAAGCGAGTTTCATCATCTTCATCATCATCAACGTCGTCGTCATCATCATGACCATTACCTTCATCATCATCACCACCATAATCATCCTTATCACCATCACCATCGCCACCTCCATAACCATCACCATCCTGATCATGATCATTATGTTCATGATCGTGACCATGATGGTATGGTGGTGATCGTCATTCTAATCAGTATCAGCATCACCATCATCACCGTCATCACAGCTACTATCATCGCCGTCACCATCACCACCACAATCGCCATCACTACCATCACAATCATTACCATCACCATCTTCACCATCACCATGATAATCACTACCACCATCACCACCATCAACATCATCATCACCGTCAACATCACCGTCACCATTACCATCATCACAGACAACCTTATCAACACCATCACCATCATCACCATCAGCATCATCACCATCACCATCGCCATCACCATGCCCATCACCACCGTCATCATCGTCATCATCATTATCGCCGTCACCATCATCATCATCATCATCATCACCATCGCCATCGCCATCACCATCACCACCATCGTCATCAGCACTATCATCACCATCACCATCACCATCACCATCACCATCGCCATCGCCATCGCCATCACCATCACTGTGATCATCATTGTCATGATCATCAACATCATCATAACCATCACCACAAGCATCATCAATATCATCATCATCACCGTCATCATCACCATCACCATCAGCAACATTATCATCACCATCACAAACACCATCATGATCATAACCATCATTATCATCACCGTCATCATCACCATCACCACCACCATCACAATCGCCATCGCCATCATCACCATCGCCATCACCATCACCACCATCGTCATCAGCACTATCATCACCATCACCATCACCATCACCATCACCATCACCATCGCCATCGCCATCACCATCACTGTGATCATCATTGTCATGATCATCAACATCATCATAACCATCACCACAAGCATCATCAATATCATCATCATCACCGTCATCATCACCATCACCATCAGCAACATTATCATCACCATCACAACCACCATCATGATCATAACCATCATTATCATCACCGTCATCATCACCATCACCACCACCATCACAATCGCCATCGCCATCACAACCATCATCATGATCATCGTCATCAGCATAATAATCGCTATCATCATGAGCACCGTCACTATCAACATCACCATCATCAGGATCGCCACAACCATTATCATCATCGGCATCACCGTAACCATCGCAATCACCGTCACCACCATCATGGTCACAATCATGAACATGATCATGATCATCATCAGTAGCATCAGCATCATCACCATCATAATCAGCACCATCATCATGAGCACCACCACCACCAACACCATCATCATCACCATCATCATCACCAGCGTCATCATCAACATCAACATCACCATCATCATCACTACCATCATCACTAATTACCACCAACATGATCATCATCACCATCAACCCTTATCATCATCATCGTCATCACCCAGCATCATCATCGCCATCATCATCGTCACCACCATCATCGCCATCATCACCATCATCACCATCACCACCACGACCGAAACCATTTTGACTCTAGCCGTCCTGGCCCACCCGCGCAGCCGCCGCGCGCTTGGTCCGATGGCGCACCACGACTGGCGCAGCCTCGGGTGGCGCTGGTGACCGCTGCGCCCGCCTGCGTGGCGTCGTGAAGGGAGGCCCGGCTGACGATCTTCTCGTTCGGCAAGGGCGGCTGCTGGGCGTCCTCTGCCCGCCGCCGTTAGGTTCTTGCAGTAGTTGCCTCCTCCGACTGTATCCTCTTTCGCCCTTGTCGCAGCGTTTCCCTCTCTTCCCTCCCCCCTCTGTGCACGGAATTCAGCACGCTGTGCTTTGAAAGAGTCCATCACCATCATCACCATCATCATCACCTTCATAATCATCACCATCACCATTGCCAACATCACCATCATCACCACCATCACCACCACCACCATGATGATGATGATCATCATCATCATCATCATAATCATCATCATCATCATTATCATCATCGTAATCTTCATCATCATCATAATCATCATCGTCATCGTCAGCATCCGCATCTTCATCCCTATCAGCATTGTCACCATCCTCCTTCTCCTCCCCCTCCTCCTCCTCCTCCTCCTCCCCCTCCTCCTCATCATCAACAGCATCAACCTCAGTATCAGTATCATCATCACCATCGTCATCATGACGATGATGATCCTCACCATTATCATCATAATCATCATTATGGCCATCACCACCGTCACCGCCATCATCGTCATCATCATCATCCTCACCATCATCTTCAGCATCAATATTCTTATTATTTTTACTCGTACCATCATTATTCGTACAATCAGCTTTGCCATAAGCATCATCAGCATCATCACCATCACCATCTTCACCAACACCATCATCAGCATACGCATCAGCATCATCATCATCATCATCATCATCATCATTCACAATCAACATCAGCTTCACCATCGTCACCATCACCATCATAATCAACGTCATCTTCATCACCACCAATATCATCAACATCCGCTTCCGCATCATCATCCCCACCACCGTCAGCACCACCATCTGCACCATCCCAATCCGTATCGTCACCACCCTCATCACCACAATCATCACCACCGGTCATCATTACCATCGTCATCGTCAACATCACCATCATCATCATCATCATCATCATCATCATCACCATCATCATCACCATCACCATCACCATCACCATCACCATCACCACCATCACCATCACCATCACCATCACCATCACCATCACCATCACCATCACCATCACCATCACCATCATCATCATCAGCATCAGCATCAGCATCAGCATCATCATCATCATCATCATCATCATCATCATCATCATCATCATCATTACCGATCAACATCACCTTCATCATCCTCGTAGTCATCATCATCCTTATCACGGCTTTTCAAAGCTTGGAGACACGAGGTGTCACACGTGGCGGCCTCCTGTGCCCTTTCCAATAATCACGGTCCAGACTGCTGGGCTTGCACGGTGGCAGGTCTGCCACAGGCAGCTGGATCATTTATGTGTTAAGAGAAACACAACCTCGAAAAGCCTCTGGAGGGGCGGGGGGCTGCTGCTGCTGGTCCTGCTGATGGTGGTGGTGCTGCTGCTACTACTCCTCCTCCGCCTTCTCAGCACTCGTCAAGGCTCACCTCACGCTCCCCCACGTCGGCTCTCCCGCCTGCGCTTCTTTCAGCTTCTCACGCACCTCCCGCTCCTTCCCGCCCTCCCGCTCCCCCTTCTCCTTCCGCCTTCCTCCATCCCACTTTATCGTGCTCCGCTCCCCTCCCCTCCCCTCCCCTCCCCTCTCCTCCCCTCCCCTCTCCTCCCCTCCCCTCCCCCCCTTTGCTCACCTTCCCTCCTCCTCCTCTCCTCCTCCTCCTCTTCTCGTCGTCCTCCTCCTCCTCCTCCTCCTCCTCCTCCTCTTCCTCCTCCACCTCCTCCTCCTCTTCCTCGTCTCCTGCCCCCCCCTCCCCTCGTCCCATCCCATCCCATCCCACCCCCCCTCCTCCTCCTCCTCCTCCTCCTCCTCCTCCTCCTCCTCCTCCTCTCCTCCTCCTCCTCCTCTCCTTCTCCTTCTTTCCTCCTCTTCCTCCTCCCTCTCCTCCTCCTCCTCCTCCTCCTCTCCTCCTCCTCCTCCTCCTCCTCCTCCTCCTCCTCCTCCTCCTCCTCCTCCTCCTCCCTGAATACCTACCACCTTGGCTCAACGCGCCGTTGCGGCACCTCAGGCCAGCCCCGAGCTTCCACGAGGTGGACTTGGGATCCGATGCCTGCAGCCTCCTTGGTGGTGGTGGCGGGTGGCGGTAACTGATTCGGGGCGAACGGCATGGTACGGGGGCGCTGCCCGAAAGCGCGGCGGCCCGCAACTTCGCGCGAAGCGGGCATCGCGGCCCACGAGGCGTCCGCTGCGCGCTGGCTGGCGCGAAGGCGGAGGCGCGACGCGTGCGAGGCCAATCTTCGCCGCCTGCTGTCGCGCTCGTCTTCGAGTGCTGTGACGGGAACTCCTTGCGAGCCGGTGGAGGCGGTGCCAAACGTGTTCACGGTCCTCAAGGCCGATTCGCCGGAGCTCGTCCCAGTGGAGCAGGTGGATGAGCTCCTCAGCGCCCTCCGCGTCGAGGAGGATCGGGAGCAGCGCCCCGTTCCCGACGCGAAGGGCGAGAAGGTCCGCAGCTTGACCTAGGATTTCGTGCCGCACGCACGGTCTGCAGGGGGCCGCTGACGAGGCGGTTCGTGCAGCTCGGCGTCGAGCGCGGATGCCAGGGCTGCGAGTCGAATGCCGATTGTCAAGAAGCGAACTGTTCGCCCCGACGAGACCGTGGAGCTCGTGGAGGCCACGGAGACCATGAGCCAGGGCGGCGTCGATATCGTGAAGGTCGAGCCCGTGCTGCTGGAGACCACGGAGAAGATGCCGACGGCCCATGCGCAGGTCAGCTCCGCAGGGAACCAGGGCAGTAAGCTGGCGATGCCCGTGGAGCAGGCGATCATCAGCGGAGCGCTGGCGGAGCCCGTCAACGAGGCACAAAAATCTACGTGGCGCAGTGGGGCGCCGCATAAACAACCCCCAGCCTATCTCCGCAGTAGCCGAGGCGGCGAGTCCCGCCAGGGTGGCGGAGGCTTCGGCTGACGTGGGAAACATGTTCTTGCAGGCGGAGGCGAACAGGGCAGCGCAGGAGGACGCTGTGTGTTTCGGTGGGGCCGCCTCGTTTTCTGGCTCGCGTGCTGCGGTGCTGACGGGGCCGAATACCGAGTGGGCAACCCTCGGCGCCAAGTGCTCGTCCCCGAGTGCGCAGGAGCCCCGAGCTGCTTCAGCTGCCGCGCACCGGCCTGCCGAGCCGGAGCGGCTGCTGCGCGACGCGGATGTTCTTCGCGGAGCTGGTGCAGCCCAGATGGCCGCGCAGGCGACGGGCAGCAACGCCGACTGCAAGCATGTCTGATCTCGCGACATGAGGAACGCTGTGTGTTCCCCCCACCGTCGCAGTTGGCGGCTCTGCCTGGGCCTCGTGTTCGGCGGCTTCGTCTCTTACAAGTTCTTCGATGGCCGCGCTTTCAAGCGCCGCGTCCTTCGGCGGGTTGCTCGCGGGATCGGAGCCTCTCGCTCTGGACCTCCGTGTCGGCCTGATCCCTCTGATCCCGCCATCCTCCTCCTCTTCCTCCTCATTCTCCTGCTCCTCCTCCTCCTCCTCCTCCTCTTCCTTCCTCTCCTCCTCCTCCTCGTCCTTTCGTAGATTTCGAGGCCACCTGGGCTAGGTGAGGGGGGCAGAACGTACCCGACACTGCCCGTCGCCGCCTCTTCATCCCCCTCCCCCTCCCCCTCCCCCTCCTCCTCCTCCTCCTCCTCCTCATCCTCCTCCTCCTCCTCTTCCTTCTCCTCCTTCTCCTCTTCCTCCTCCTCTTCCTCCTCCTCGTCCTCGTCCTCGTCCTCGTCCTCGTCCTCGCCCTCGTCCTCGTTCTCCTCATTCCTCCTCCTCATCTTCCTCCTCCTCGTCCGCGTCCTCCTCCTCCTCCTCCTCTTCCTCCTTCTCCTCCTCCTCCTCCTCCTCCTCCTCCTCATCCTTCTCCTCCTCGTCGTCCTTCTCCTCTTTCTCGTCCTCCTCCTCCTCCTCTTTCTCCTCCTCCGCTTTCTCCTCTTTCTCCGCCTCCTCCTCATCATCATCATCATCATCCCCCCCTCCTACAAAGTGCCAAGGAGCCGACGCGCGCCTCGCGCGCGTGGCGGCGGCGCGGCGCTCGCTCGCGGCGGCTCGCCTGGATCGGGAAGCCGGCCCGCCTGGGCGAAGCGCGCCAGGGAGGGGGGCACCCATGCCTCCGTCCCCAGGGAGGGAAGGAGGGATGGAGGGAGGGGGACGGAAGAGGAGGCAACACTCCGAAAGAGAAAGAGTCGAACGCAGGCGGTCACGACCCAGAAGAGACAAGAGCCACCCGTCTCCGACAACGGCTGATCTGGTTCTGGGCCCCGTCCAGCTTGGTCATCCTGGGATTCTCCATGAGCGCGGTCATCGCCCCGTCCATGGGGTCCCTGGCAGCGTTCTCAAGCGAGAACACACTGGATTTGATGGCGTTGGTTCCCAAGTCCTGCGCTCACACCTGCGAGTGCGCTCCTTCACCTTCCTGCAGTCCCTCTTGCAGGAACGCGTGTGGCTGTCACTCCTTGGGGCCATGGCAAAACAGACTGGGGTGATACGCGTGATGCCTGCTATCAGCACCCGCGACGGCAAAAAACGCGAGTAACTCAATTTGCTTGCCGCCGCGGACGCAAGCACCTTGAGTGACAACTCCGGTGCGCACTGATCCCCGTGCCGCAAGGCACCTCGCTGACGTGATCGCGTGGATGAAACCTTGGGGTGCTGACGCGGAACAGCGGTTTCCACTTGGTCCACCTGGGAAACTTGCAGCTTAAGCCGAGACGGCTTCAGCCCAAATGGCTACAGACGAGGAAGGGATGAAGGAGGAGAAGACGTGATGGACGAACATAACAAGA